ACATTTTGTCATTCCCAATTTCTCTATATTTTCCTTCCCATTTCTTTCTGTAGCTTTTTCCAAGTTGCAAGTGGCCCCTTGAACTTACAATGTGTTTCAGATGCTTGAAATCCCCTGCAAGAACAGTTGAGAAGAACCTCGCTATTTCCACCTATATTAGGAGACAAGAAAGACATGCTTTTATCATCTGTCTTTACATTGGCTGAAGAGTTGAAAAGAAAGTGGCAATTTATAACTCTTACTTCTTTCAAATGCATGCAGTCTCTCAAAATTAAGACCTCAAGTACATTCCTGCTTGCATCACCACCAAGGTTTCTGTGGAGGTCCATAATCATAAGAACACATGTGAAAACAATTTTATACTTGTGTCTTGTAATTACAAAAACAACTAGAAAAAGGTAAGTCTAGAAAAGCATACTTAAGAAATGAGCCAGTGACAGAATAGGATGTTGAAAAGTCAACATACTTAAGCTTATGAAATCCCTGGAAACATAGGTACAATAATAAAACACTTGGTGAGACATTACACTATGCCCATCAATAGAAAGATGGACGGAGTATGCTGCTATAATTTAAATTACAACAGGTTCTAGCACACACAAAAACTGGCGAAGTTTGCCAGATAGACCAGATACAAAATTTAAACAGGCCAATAAAAAATTAAAATGAATAAAATAAAAAAAAATTATTTACGAGAAACCAAGCACCACCTTAAAAAGTACACGAACTTTGGAGTCATGCAATTTGTACCCTCTAAGTGCCAATGAAGATATATTGGGACAATTATTCACCAAGTCACTGCAAGATTGCAATTTAAAACTGCAATCTCTACCTGAAAAACACAAGAGAATAAGTGAATAGGAATTCTTCTCTAAGGTATATTGCTCATCTCAATCAGAAACCAATGCACCTGCTTTTGAAGATTCAAAGAATAGTCGTTCAATCAGAGGACATGATTTGCTTATTGATCCAATAGTTTGGCTTAAGTCGACATTACTACACAACAGAAAAATAAATTTTCAGTTATATACACAGATCTGATACTCGTATTTAACAGACAAGGAAAAAGAAAATAAAATAGAAACGGGTAGCAAAGCACTTCACTTGTGCTCTTCGTATTATGCAAATAGAAGTCAAAACTTGTAATCAATAAGCTAAAGTGTTCGACCACAAACGTACTAGTAACCCTCTCAAACAAATATTCTACACACTCCCTCCTCCTTCGAAAGATTGCACCTAGAGGATTATTACGGTTTTTAAGAATAAAAATCATAGGGGATACTGACTCATGTAAAAGAGAAAATGAAGAGTTTCTCATTTTCCTTTTTGGTTTGTTTAAAAAAATCTTCTCGTTTCTTCTTAAGGAAAGATTTGTGTGGTTGATATTGCTTCTCTCATTTACAAATTCACCCAATGTCAAACAAATTTCCTTTTCATAATAAGGCGTGTCAAGTCAGAATGAGAGGAACATACATTTGACAGATGGAGTATTTCAAAAAAAAATGACAAGTTGAACATGTAACAACAAATCCAGTAAAATCCCATACAAAGTTGGGAAATGAATCAGGTAATCAATTAAAAACTTCCTTTAAAGGGTAATGGAGCAACTTTTAATAATGGGAGAGAGTGATAAAGACATGTGCACAGTGCACTCACACAGTTAACTTTGAATACCAAGTTCATTTGATAGAAACATCTGAATGAGCTTTGACACCATGATGACAAAGAAACACTTAACTAATTGCAGTATCCTAATATTGCATTCTAAAACCTCCTTACCAATTCGCTGGGGTCACACTCTTTCCCAATATATACAACAACAACCCAGTTAAATCCCACAAGAGTAGGGTCTGGGGAGGGTGTGTGTACGCAGACCTTGCCCCTACTCGAAAGTAGAGAGGCTGTTTCCAAAGAGACCCCCGGCTCAACGTCGAAAGTTGCATTGTTTGACTAACTGCTACTTCATTAATTAAAGAAGCGCAGATAGTTTAGAGATCCATTTTGATTTATTCCATCACACCCCAAAGCCAAAAATGGTGAAATTTTGGCTCCATCGGAGATAATGAAATTATATATTTTTCCCAATATATAATTTAAAAATAATAATCTATAGTTGCAAAGAAATAATTTGTAAGAAATTGGCATGGATACNAAACACTTAACTAATTGCAGTATCCTAATATTGCATTCTAAAACCTCCTTACCAATTCGCTGGGGTCACACTCTTTCCCAATATATACAACAACAACCCAGTTAAATCCCACAAGAGTAGGGTCTGGGGAGGGTGTGTGTACGCAGACCTTGCCCCTACTCGAAAGTAGAGAGGCTGTTTCCAAAGAGACCCCCGGCTCAACGTCGAAAGTTGCATTGTTTGACTAACTGCTACTTCATTAATTAAAGAAGCGCAGATAGTTTAGAGATCCATTTTGATTTATTCCATCACACCCCAAAGCCAAAAATGGTGAAATTTTGGCTCCATCGGAGATAATGAAATTATATATTTTTCCCAATATATAATTTAAAAATAATAATCTATAGTTGCAAAGAAATAATTTATAATAAATTGGCATGGATACTCACAGCCCAACTACTTCAAGATCACGCAAAGATGAACAAACCGATAATGCCGCATTAAGTGATGAATCATCGAGACGTTCAATATTGCATAGGTGCAACCTTCTTAGAGAAGACCTTGAAATTTTGAAGGAAATGATAAGGTATAGAAAAACATGATTAGCATCAGAACATGTACACTAGAAGGTCAAGTGTTCAGATACTGATCAATAAGCAATTGCATATAAAAAACATACCAACTCAACAATTTATTTCATTAGTACTAAAAAAATACCCTATCGTGCCATCATTGGAACTCAAGGGGGCCAAGCATGATCTTGTAAGAGTAGATGCCTCTTTTCCCAGTCTAGGAAAAATCAGCGGTTGGGCTGATCGGGATGCAGCAGTCATGGGGCTAGGTACAATTCCAAGCTTGAGAGACCTGTATTTGTTCATTTAATTAATCACATGGTACTTGTGAGAATTGAATAGATATTTCTATATAGCCACAAATTGATGGAAAATATTTCGATATTTTACCATACACTCCTTATTACTCCCTTCGTCCAAAAATTTATTTCCCGATTTGACTTGGCACGGAGATTAAGAAAAGTTAAAAAGTGCAAAGACTTTCCATGTTTGCCCATAATGTGATGGAATAAAGTGAATAGTGTAGATAAAAATGGGGGTATAATGTCACTTTCATTAAAATTGTGTTGCCAAAATAGAAAATGGGAAATTTTTTTTTAGACAATCCAAAAAGAAAAGTGAGAAAAAAATTAATGGTCGGAGGGAGTATAAATCCAAGTGAAGATAAATGTATGTAATAGGTGTCAAGAAATTAATTCAACCAAAAGCTCAAGATTGTGATTATGGCCCAGGAATGGTTTTTATATACTCTAATGCGCCCCGTCACGTGCAGGCGTGACTTCTTTAAGCCTTGCACGTGAAACCTTCATTTTTAAATTTGGGTGGCGGAGAGTTTTGAAATCATGACCTCTTGGTCATCAGAGCTCCGATACCATGTCAAGAAACCAACTCAACCAAAAGCTCAAGCTTATGATTGTAGCCCAAAAATTGTTTTTATATACTCTAACAATAGAGTGCTTTGTAACTTTCCCAGCAATTAAATACCACACATCTAGCATTTTGTAGTACCATTTTAAAGTCAATTCACTAGGAAATTCTGAAATTATGGAATTATAAATAGAAACCAGCCAAGCATTTTAAATGTTGCTAGTAAAGCTATGAAGGATCCAGGCCGGAATTCTGAATGTTCTTTTTTTTCATAAGCATGGTTGGTTACTTGATTTCTAGTGCTGTGAAGGCTTAAAAGATCAAAGTGGCAAAGTCATATACTAGCTAGGACTCCTAGGACACTTCTGCAACCAATTCATCCCAGTGGACTTATATCATTCTGATCATGAATTATAATGTTTGTTAGTGTGAGCATTCAGTAGTAGTTTATGTACATGTCAAACTTGAAAAGAGCTATGCATCTTACCGGAATGCTTTTCCAGCACGCTGAATCATGGTTGCCACAATAAGGTTATTGACCCTAGGAACCGGGGTGACCAAGTCAATATCGGCATAGCACGCCGGATCTGCTGCACACTTGTGAAAGAAAGAGCATGTAGCTGATGCATAGCACACACTCCTTGTACCAAGCAGAGAAAATATCTGCACATCAGCAGGCACCATTCAAAATATGAGATTCCCCACAAGCTCATACACCATATTTCAGTATTTCACAGTTAAACACTTAAACATGAATAAAGAACGAGCCGCAATCAAAATTCATAGTAATTTAAAAACATATACTAGCCCGTGGCACAGAATACCGCAAGGAAACAGTCCCATATATAAATACCTTGATCGTGATGTCAGATGAAAGAGGCCAAACGGATGCGTTGTGGCTGGCGGCGAGCCCCCTGGAAGCTCTCTTGCCGGCCTCGAGAAGGGCAGATCCCAACCGGAGCGCACCGTCGACGGCGTCACACTGGTCGGAAGCGCAAAGGCTGGAGTCGAGGAGGCGATCGAAGGAGAGGTCGAGAGCAGAATTGGAGAGGCCTAAGAAGGAATGCAGCAGTGAATCGACCCGATCGAGATCGAGGTGCGAATTGAAATGGAGCTTGGATGGATCCTGAGAGACGCCGCAGCAACGCTTGGGGTTCCGCGTGGGGGTATCCGCCATGGAAAGAGCGCGAAGCAGAACTGTGAGGGAGAGTCGGAGAGATTGATCGGAAAACTGTGACAGAAGGGAGTGAAATTGAGAAATTCAGAGACTCGTGACACGTGACAGAAACACAAGAAAAAAAGATGAAACGGTAAAAATGTAAATTAAGGGGGTGTATTTATAAGGATTCTTATTCATTTAAATAGAAATCAATGGAATTTAAAAGTTTAGGTGTATTCAATTGTAACTTTTTAAAATCTATAAAAATCTGGATGTATTCAATTAGGATTTTAAAAAGTCATTACAAATTCAACGAAATTCTAGCCGTATTCAAAATAGACTTTTAAAGTTGAAAAAAAATCTAGAAGTATTCAAATTAATATTAAACCCATGGATTTAATAAAATCATTCATATATGAAGATATTTTACTCTAGGACTATATATATTCTTTCTTCATTCTTTTCTTTACGCACGAGCTGGTATTCTCTGTAGACTTTTTTACGCAAGAGCCCTATGTACGCCGTCAAAGTCTGATTTCGCCTCAACTGGAGCTGGTATTCTTTGTCGCCTCAACTGCCGGACCTGGTATTCTTTGGGACAATTGATCCCCCAAGCAATTCTGAGGCACGCTATTCAAATTCATGTTTACCTGAGGCCGGAGGAAATTTGGGTTTCCTTACAAAAGATTTTGATTTTTGTCGGCATCAACCCAGTAAAGTAATTAGTCTTCACTTTATGGGTATTAGTCTTGAATCGGGTTTAACCCCATAAAAATTTGAGTAAATCATGTGTTAAATAATTATGTGAAAGCAGCGAAAAAATGGTGCATAGCTAATATAAAATACAGAGTATATAATCTTCACTTTTTAGTTTTTTAGCTCCTTTGTACTTTAAAGGGCTTATTTTGTTATTAATTTATAAATATAATATTTATTTAATTGAAAATTAAAAGTAATCTTATTTGAGTGCAAAAAAATAATGCTGGACGAACATACTTGGATGGTAGAAGTGAAATCTATAAAATTATTCAAATAAAAGTCCATGACTTGTTAAAATCCATAGAAATTATTTATATAAAATCAATGACTTTTAAAATATCAATAGAAGTCTATGACTTTCAACACAAGTCCATTGACATGAATAGAAGTCATTGATTTTAAAAATATGAATACAATTCCTTATACAATACACCTCCCTAAGGTAAATTTCAAGAGTAATTTGTAGTACTCCATAGCTTGCATTAGTGCTAAGTACTGCTAACTGCTAAGTTAATTCAATTAATAATCATTTGGTTTGGTAAATCATTTTTGCCATTGTCCCTCTTCATCTAAAACATTATGATCTCGTTTGACATCAACATTAGAAATTAGCATTAGTATTTTAAAAAGACTATTTGACAATAATTTTTAGTGTTAACATTTTAAAAATTAATTTACATCATTAAAATTTTATTTAAAATACTAACGTTAATCGAAAACGTTATTTCCAAACAAGGCATATGTTACTAAAGAATGTGTGTAACAAAAGCAGTTGTCATGTGAGAAAAAAAAATATTTTTTCAAGTTTCCCTTGAACCATTTCTCATACATTTAATTTGGCATTTCCTAGAGAACTACAAATATACTTGAAGAGAAAAATAAAAAATAATAAAAATGAAAACTTAAAAAAACTTTCAAAAATTGAAAACTTTATTTTCAAATCAATTTATATAAAAAATGAGTTAAAAATTCGCTCCATCCCCTTGTCAAACACATCAAAAATATGTCGTAGTATATACGGGATGAAAAATAAAAATGTAAGAACATATATACAAATAAAAGTACAGAAATTTAAAACTTTCTCACATCAACTACAATACTCCCTCCGTCCACAAATAAACTTTACGTTCACTATTTACATGGTCAAACTTTATTCACTTTGTTGGCCTATTTTCGTCACCCATTTGATAAAATAATATAGTCATGTCACCTCTAGTTTTGTAGATCTTTTGATATAGTTTTTTAATATGTAATTTTTATTTTTCAATTCTACACCATTTTTCATATAAAATGATTTGAAAATAACTTCAGTCAAACATCATAACGCGCAATGTAAAGTTTATTTGTGTACGGAGGGAGTACTATTTTAATCTCAATTAAAATATAAAAAATATGAACACTAATAACCCTAATAATAATATTAACATTAGTTCCTTCAAAAAAATTTAACATTAGTAATTACTATGTAAAATCATAAAATGGATCAACCAACCATTCACATAATTTTTATCCGTAAAATGGGATTGAATTGAATCCAAAATTTTAACTTTGGTTAAAAATCTAACCCAAAAAAAAGCCTAACTTTGTTTTAAAAAAATTTACCCGAGTATAATTTTGTTTTTTGAAAGGACCAAGTTACTTATTTACTCTGCTAGTTGCTGCTCCTTTGGAGTCATCTCCGAGTCTCCTGAGCCGCCATCCCCACCTCGCCCCCGCCAAGGCGCCGCCGCCTGCAGCTCGACCAACACAAGAAAAGACACGTCGCCGACTAGTCCCGCCGTCGAGCGTCAAAAGGACAGTGGGGTATAGTATGTATACTAAATAAACATTGCAATTTTCCGACTTTCTCTGTTGCTCAAGCAAAACCAGCCGGCGAGTGCCCAACGCCCCAGCGGCAGTCCGTTTCACTCCCGTTCGATGGCGGCCTAGTAAGGTACAACATGCTCACATAAACCAATAAAGTATGTTAGATACTTCAGTTTTTAAAGGCTATTTACGGTTTGTTTCTCTTGTGAATCTAAGATGAAAGTTTATTGCATTATTAGTCATGTCAATTGATTCGGTTTTGAATTCTTTATGGTGTTTTGCACTTATTTTGATCAATGTTTTAACTTCTTTAAGTGTTGTATTATTTTCTTAATGATATATGCAGTTGAAAACTTTAATGGTACGTTTGGGAACTTGAATTCAGATTTCAAATCTGGATTTGGTTCAAATTACATGTTTGGGAATATTCAAAATCTAGATTTGAGACAAATTCTTCTAATTCATTGCAAGGTTCAATTGCAAATCCATATGTCTCCCCTTGTCATTTGAAATTCAAGATTTCAAATTTTGGAATTGAAATGAAATGCTAGTTCCCAAACAGTACCTAAGATTATTCAAAGTTGAAGGTGTGTTTTATGATCTTGTAGAAATGTGAAATTTCATCCCAATACCACTGTGGGAGGAGTTATAGTTACATACTTTGTATTAGTCTTTACCATCTTCTTCAAGGGCGACCTCGGTCTATTTGCTTCAATTTTTCATTTTCTTAAAAAGACTACTTGTCATAGCTCATAAGCCTTGACCTTTTATGCCATGCAGGAATGTGTGATTTCATCCCAAAACCAAGCCAATTGGCTATGCGAAGCATATTTTAAATTCTTTTATATTAGTTTTTTGTAGCATGAGTGTTGATGTGAAACTATATTTTCAACAGATTTGTCATGTGAAATTTTAGCTTTTAAAATTATAATTTAAGGAAAATTTTCACATCTTAAAAACTAAAAAGCTTGTGCACCTTGCACTTACCCACTTACTTTATTCATGCAACAAGATAAATGGATGTGTCTCGGACTCGTTTAAAGAGCTATATATGTGGTTTCTGAAATACAAGTAGTGTGGACAGTTGAAAGTTGAATTGGTTGCATTTGATGTTAGTTTTCCTCTTTTGTTTCTTTGGAACATTTATAGCTGCACGGATTGATGTTGTAGTGCCATCTGTAATGAATCGCCTTGTTGCAAATAGACTGGGCAATGGTCTTTCAGGCAACCACAGGCAGCACAAACACTTCACAGCCAAGTTGGTTTCACTGATATGCAAAAGGTGTAGGCCTCTTTTTCCCTTAACGTTATTACTTGAGTTTCATTGAGCATCTTTGGGAATTGGGAAATTGTATTTTATTTGTATATGACTAGGTGTCTACCACTCTCTTTGTCCCAATTTATCATGCATATTTCCGTTTATAAAAAGCATTATGATTTTATTTATAGCATATTAAATTAATTGGAACTTTTAAAGTTTACAAATAAAAGGTAAGCATTGTTCAGTATGATCATTTCCTATTTCTTTTAAATTAGAATTCTACAGCTCTAAATTATTCAATACTCCTTGTAACATTTTTAACTGCATTAGAATAAAGTTTTATTAAATGTAGCATTTTTGTGTGTGATAAGTTAATTAAAATGAAATTATTATTTAGGTTATGGGAACAACTTAAAATTTATCTACCCAAATGAACTTATTATCTTCAACTACAATACCCCCTCATTTCTAAATTTTTCTTCCCATGTTGACTTGGCACAATTTTTAAGAAAAGTAGAACCGTGTGATTGTAGATTATTTAGAAGCGAGAGAAGAAATATGGATCACACAAAAGTTTCCTTAAAAGGAAATGAGAAGTTAGTTTTAGGACAACCCAAAAAGTAAAGTTAGAATACTTCTTACTGTATTGGGGGG